TGGCTGGAGAACCTAGCGAGAGAACATGGCACCAGCAACTTGGCTGGAGATCCTGACCAGAACCTGGCTACAGATCCTGGCTAGAGATCCTGTCTAGGCTGCTGATCAACTGAAGGTTGTCTCCGTGTCATTCCTTCTTCGCCGACTCCGTCCACACCTTTGGGGACCCCTGAACCTGCTGGGGTTGTACCCCAACAAGGGAGAAAGGGAGGAAGGGAGGGAGGGAGGAAACCAGATGTGATGTATCCCATACCAGGAACTGAGGTACAGACCTTCAATGTTTAATGTTAATCAGTTTGGAGGCATGTTGTGTTTAATGTTTGCAGCAGCTGTTGGTGCCAGAGCCTTCACTTTCCTCCAATGTCCTTGGTTTACTTTTCTTTCTCCTGTTGTCTTGGGGCTTCAACAAGAACTGCTTTCTGGACAGAGTCTGCGTCCTGCACTTCTTTCAGTTAGAACCCTCTGTGATTACACGGGAGCCCTGGTGACATGGCAGGGTGTAGGGCAGGGAAAACACTCTATGATCTTATGATTAAATCTCAGTTTCAGTTGGCCTGACCCTGTGCCTCAGCAGTGTTTCCTCACACTTTTCACCCTTAGGTACAGTGGGCAGGTTAGAGGTTAGACTTGGCCGGCTGCCCTTCCCCCAGGACAGAAAGGGGTCTGGCAGTTTCCCTGGGAGTGTTGGCCTTGGTTTCTGAGAATAGACTGCTCTGGGCCTATTTCAGAAGGTTACTTTTCTACCCCCAAACCCCAAATTTTAAGAAATGTTGCTTAGATTTTCACTGTGAGAACTTGGTGGGATTCCTGGCAATAAAACGAATGAAAAGTTGGGAGGCCCCCCTAACACTGGGGCTTAAGGATTTTCTCACTATCAAGCTCATCCACAATCAACCTCCGGCAATTTGTCAAAATTCCCATTTCAGTGTCCCTGTAAGTTCACGGCTCCAGCGGCTTCTGCTGCCGGCAGGCGGATCCTGACTGTGCTTTGCGGTGCTCACATGCCTGCCCAGACTTCGGGGTGGCTTCCCTGTGCCCTCAGTTCTTCTGGCTCTAAGTCACTGACTTTCATTCTGTCCAGCTTTCTACTTGCTCTTCAAATGTAACAGCTTCCAAGCTCTTTCCATGCTGAAGCTGAACAACCTGATTTTCAAATCACAATGATAAAAGTCTACCTTCTCCGGACCCTCCCTTATCTTCCAGCTGCTCCAGAGAGGACGGCACTGTAGCAGGGGCTCCAGGTTCAGGAAGGAACGTGCTGGGGCCACACCAAGAGCAGAACACAACACAGTTTTTATTCTGAGGTCTCAAAACTTGGCTACGTGCAAAGGAAGATCACTGAGGATCTGTGTTTTCCGTTTTGATTCTGTAATCACCAAGTCACTTGTGTCCTTTGCCTTTTGCTGACTCATCTTTTCTGCTGCTTACCATAACGTAGAGGATCTGGAGCACCATCTCAGAACCAGTCCTAGCCGCTCCAGCCAGCCACTGGGGGTCTGGCTAGATACTGGTAGGTGGACACAGCTGGATTCTATTAGGAATGCTTTGATATTTTCTAAAAGTTCTAAAGTTGTTATTTTCCTAGTGACATTTTAAATTCACATAGATTATTTATTGACTATAAAGTGAGGACGGAATCCGGGTTCTCTTATTACCCTCCAAACAGTACACTTTGAAGACCATTTTCTGTCCCAGCCTCTCAGATAAACACAGTAACTGATCAGATTTAACTAGAAAACATCTTGTATGTACTTTTCTCAGTTGCCAGCATCATCTTGACAATTTTCTCACACTCCATTAATTCAACAGGTAGCGCCGAGACCGATTTGGCTCAGTGGATAGAGTGTCAGCCTGCGGACTGAAAGGTCCCAGGTCCGATTCCGGTCAAGGGCATGTACCTGGGTTTCGGGCACAACCCCAGTAGGAGATGTTTCTAACTCTCTATCTCTCTCCCTTCCTCTCTGTAAAAAATCAATAAAATATATTTAGAAAAAAAATCAACAGGTAGCTATTTAGCAGGATATGACATACTACATTCAGTACAATTATCATGATATTAAAATATTATTACTAGAAAATACGGCACAGAAATATATAGAAATATTAATATACTTAGAGAACGAGATTATGAGTGACTTTGTTTTCCAACTCCTGTATTTTCCAAAAATTTGTAATGTATTCACATTACTTCTATATTTAAAGAAATATTATTGATGCCTATCATGAAGAAAGTAGTATGCCGGGTAGTAATATATAGGGGAAAATGAAAAAGAAATATACTAGCAGGTCCTCGATTCCCAGGAGTTTCCCAGCTATTGAGGAATAAATTACAATGTGAGGTAATATGTAGCTAACATTTCACAAGGAAAGAATTCACAGCTTCAAAAAATGTTGGAGCATGGAGTTACAGTCACTGAAATAGCTAGCAGCTAGCTGATGTGTCCACAGCAATCTAACTCCAGAGTATGCCCCTTGGAGAGTCGGCCTGTTCTTCTGGAAAGACGCTGTAGGAGGGAGTTCTGGTTTATCTTAGATTCTCCTCTGTCTTTTCCTGGCTTCCCACCAGCAGGCGGCATTATGTTATACACTCCTAATCAACTGGCCGATTTTAAAGTTGACTTTTTTTTTTTTTTAACAAACTCTAAATGAATTTAATTTACTTGGCATGTTCAGGGACAGTTCTAAGCTTGTATGGTCTGAAACAAAAACTATTTGGGGGCCCTCTTTAAAAAGAAGACACAATTAGGTACTGGTTCATGCAAGGGAAGCTTCAGCTCATTATCTTCAAGGTAAATCCCTCTCTAGTCTTTATCAGGTCACTGGACATACAGGATAACTATATCTACATCTATAGCTAAATAAATTACCAAAAGGTCTATGAAACAGAAGCTTTTATACTCAGTACCTTATTTTAAGCAATAGGCATAAAAAGAAAACTCCAGAAAATAAAAATTAGATATTTACACGGCATTTGTTATTGTGGTACCTGGAGTAGCAGTTTAGTGCAGTGGCTTAAGAGTGTGAATTTTAGAGTCAAACTGCCTGGGTTGAAATCCAAGCTCCACTACATCTTAGCTGGGAGACCTCAGGCAAGTTATCTGATGTGACTATTCTGTTGCTCAGTATCCTCACCTACAAAATGGGAATACTACCCATCTAAAGGGGTTCTTGCAAGAATTAGAATTTGGACAGCAAGATTAGTTAGTATATATAAAATATTTAGGACCCAGCATATGGTGAGTGCAATAAAAGTGTGAGCTGTTAGTATTATTTGTTAACACATTCACTTACAATTATAATTCAATTGGGTAACTATTTCCATTTTCTGAACATCTCAACTGATGCTTACAGAGTTCTGTAAAATATAGCTTAATTTCTTTTTTGTTTTTGTTTTTAGAAAGGTGACATGGGCACATAGGAACCTAAAGATAGATGAGGTGTGATTGTGCTAGTGTGCTCTTGAAACACATTGGTTAATCCTCACCCAAGGATATTTTTCCCCCATTGATTTTTAGAGAGAGTGGAAGGGAGGGAGGGGGGGAGAGAGAAACATCGATGTGATAGAGACATCAATCGGTTGCCTCCTGCACACGCCCTGACCGGGCCAGGATCTGGCCTGCAACCTAGGTACATGCCCTTGACAGGGAATTGAACCCAGACCATTGGGTCTACAGGCCGACACTCTAACCACTGAGCAAAACCAGCCATGACAATATAGCATAATTTCTTACAGGAATTTTTTTATTTTAAAAAGACCTTAAGTTACATCAAAAAGTAATGGATTGAACGAATTAATGACATCTCAATATTATGGAACCAATATTAAGGTCAACAAAAAGAATGAGATCTAAATTTACTGACATGGAAAGATCTCTGATATAATATTAACATGCAATATTATATAAGATTTGATTCACTGTTCTGTATGTATGTTGTATTCTGTTTGTATATGTATAAATGTATCTATTCACATAGAAAATGCCTGGAAGTATGCATACCATAACATTATAGTGAGTACATCAGGGGTAGGATTGGGGAATGTATGTACTTATGTCCTACTAGAACTTTGTATTTTATATAATGTGTGTGCATTTTTTATAATTTAGAAAATCTGAGTCAGAAAAAAAAAAGCTAACCCCACCTTGGAGTGTCCACAAACTTCTCAATCAGCATAGCGTCATCATTGAAAGACTTCTTCGCTTCCCTCCGGGCTGATTCCAACTGTTCTTGAAATTCTTTTTCCGATCTGGCGATCCTCATACCCTAAGGTGAAAGGTAGATTTGACGACAACATAAATAAAACAAAGGAGAGTAGCCGGAAATGGAAAACATGAGCACGCACAGTCTTACTTTTCCTCCTCCACCACGGACGGCTTTGATCATGACGGGGTAGCCGATCCTCCCAGCATGCTCTCTCAGGCACTGGTCTGTCTGGTCCTCACCATGATAACCTTCCACAACAGGCACTCCAGCAGCAGCCATTATGGATTTGGATGTACTTTACAATAAAAAAGCCCAAGATACCCACATTCTATGAAATTTCATACAAGAGAAACAAATACAGACCAGTCTACAAAATATAATGGAGCTTTTCATTTTATGTTTAATTTTTTCTTTTTTATTGAATTTATTGGGGTGATATCAGTTAATAAAATTTTATAGGTTTCAGGTGTATAATTCTATAATACATCATCTGTATTATAATGGAACTTTTCAAAGAAAACATCCCATAGATAAAGAAAAAACTATAGTCTGAGATAACAAATATTAATGCAAATATGAAAATATCTGTTGATTTCCCTCAATCCAATTTTTCATGTGGTAACTCATCCTACCTTGTTTTTATCCCCCCGAAAGAATTAGCATGTTGATTAGAAATACTAATTAGCTGAGTATTTTTCTGAAGTGGCAGATAAACAACTTATGCCTAAGACAACAAAAGTGTATTATTAGCATGTCTATTATAGGTAAAATAAACCATTTCAATTGATCTTATTTAAAAAATATACACTCATACCTCTTTATACCCATGTCCCTAATTGCAGACGAGGGAGGACCTATAAAAATAATTCCTTCTTGCTTACATAGTTCAGCAAATTCCATGTTTTCTGAAAGAAAACCGTACCCAGGATGGATAGCCTAGAAGCGAGAAATGAAAAGACAAATTTACCAGCACACCACTGGCAAAGTGGGTTGCAGGCGGCATCACTTTCCTGTGGGGAGGCCTCCCTGTGCTGGTGATGCCTACACTACACTATCAAAGCCTGTTTCCAAGCAGACATCTGAAACACTCACACTGAAGTTCTGAAGCCTTACCTGAACCAGAAGAATCTGTATTTTTTTTATTGTGGTAATAAATACATGAGATAAACCTCTATTTTAACCACGTTGACGTGCACAATTCAGTGGCATTAAGCACATGCACCAGGCTGGGCAACCATTACCACCAACCATCTCCAGAACGCCGTCATCACCCCACACAGAAATTCTGTGCCATTAAACACTAACCCCTCACTGCCTGGTAATGTTCCGTCTCACAAATTTCACTTTCCCTCTCTATGAACTTGTTTATTGTAGGAACCTGATATAAGTGGAATTGTACAAACTTACCCTTTTGTGTCTGGCTTATCTCACGGAGCAGAATGTTTCCCAGGTTCATCCATGTAGTAGCATGAATCAGAATTTCATTCCTTTTTTAAGGCTGAATAATAGTCCCTGTATGTATATATTCGACACTTTGTTTACCACTCACCTGTTGACGGATGAGGACTGTTTCCACCTTCTGGCTATTATGAATAAAGCTGCTATACACATTGATGTGCCCATATCTCTCTGAGTCCCTGCTTTAAGTTCTTATAAGTATAAATCTACAAGTGGAATGGATGGATCAGAGGAATCTGTATTTTAATTTATAATAATACTGCTTTTAGGGTAGAATGTCAAGGAGGATAAGTAGGAGTAAAGGTAATGGGGATTTCTTGACTCTGCCTTCATATAGAGCTGGCTTAGAACTGAAACTGTGGAACCCACAAGCTGTGAAGAACACACTACCACAATCACACCCCATCTATCTTTAGGTTGCTATGTGCCCATCTCACCTCTCTAAAAAGATAACTAAGAAGCAAACAAAAAGTCATATGAGAAATAAAGCCTGTATATACTTTAGTGAAAGAGGACTACCTCAGACTTTTGCCTAGTTACCTGCAAGTTCCTCAGAGTTTTAACAAATTTATGTATCTGGCTTTCTCGCTCACCAAAGGGGACAATCGGTGACCCAAGAACAGTGTGTTTTCTTAGGGCAAACATGCCAACAGCAAAGAGGGAAGCACAGGGAAGCAAACAGTTGCAGCTCAGATTGTTTAGTGAGGGATGAAGCAACTCGGTCTCCCACTTCAGTAGCCCTCAGGACATTTGCTCTTCTAAAATAATAATTATAACCAACTGAATATTAAAAGAAAGCTCTGCCAACCCTATTTCAAAATAGTTGCACTTAAAGGACATTTCAACATTAAAGCAGTTAGCTTCCAATGTCTGGGAAACTCATGTGAATAGAAAAACCCCTATCTTACTGATGGCAAACAACAAAATGCTAAATACTGAATAAAATGCAACACGTCACATTTTTATGTCAGTTTGGAATTTTGTTTCTTTCAAACCAATGCTCAATTTCAGACATTTCCTATGAAATGGTCAAATGTTACTTATGCTAGGCACACTGAAAAAGATCTACACTCTGTCCTCCCTGGTTTGTTAACAGCTTTTTTTCTTAAGGTATGATTTACATATATAACATTCACCCATTTATAGTTTCATGAATTTAGTAAATTTATACAATTGTGCAAGTATTACTACAATCCAGTTTTAGAACACTCTATCACTCAAAAAAGTTCCTGGCCCTAACTAGTTTGGCTCAGTGGAGGGAGCTTTGGCCTGAGGACTGAAGGGTCCCAGGTTCGATTCCGGTCAGGGGCATGTTCCTTGGATGCGGGCACATACCCAGTAGAGGGTGTGCAGGAGGCAGCTGATCGGTGTTCCTCTCTCATCAATGTTTCTAACTCTCTATCCCTCTGAGTCCCTTCCTCTCTGTAAAAAATCAATAAAATATATATATTTTTAAAAAAGTTCCTGTGTGCCCATGTGCATAACTAATTAATTCTTACTTCTAGAACCAAGCAACTTACTGACCTGCTGTCTCTATAGTTTCACTTTTTCTTTAAAGAAATTTCCTAGAAATGTAATCATATAGTACGCATAGTCTTATGTGTCTGATTTCTTTAACTTAGCATAATTTTTTTTTTGGGGGGGGGACATTTTAAATATTTTTTTTATTGATTTCAGAGAGAAAGAGAGATAGATAGAAACATCAACGATGAGAGAGAATCATTGATCGGCTGCCTCCTGCACACCCCCTATTGGGGATCAAGCCCGCAACCCGGGCATGTGCCCTTGACTGGAATTGAACCCAGGACCCTTCAGTCTGCAGGCCAACGCTCTAGCCACTGAGTCAAACTGGCCATGGCACTTAGCGTAATTTTTTGAGGTTCATCCTTGTTAATTGTCTGCATCGGTAGTTTATTTCTTTTTACAGAATTGATTCCACTATGATATGCTACATTTAGTTCATGATTTCATTTAGATTTTTTTTCCAGTTTGGGGCCATTATGAATAATGCTGTTATGAACATTCATACAAGCCTATTTTTCGTTTCTCTTGGATAAATGCTCAGGAGGGCAACTGTTGGGCCAAAATATGGTAAGTATATGTTTAAATTTTTAAGTTTTCTAAAGAAGTTGTCCTATTTTGCATTTCTACCAGCAATAGCTGATGGTTCCAAGTTTCTCCAAATTCCTGCCAACACTTATTATCTGTCTTTTATATTTATAACATCCTAGTGAGTGTGAAATGGGATAGAACTGTGGTTTTCATGTCAATTTCCCTAATGACTAATGATATTGAGTATCTCTTATTGGGCTTATTGCCATTTGTGTATCTTCTTAAGTGATGTGTCTATTCAAATCTTTTGCCCATTTTCTTCAATTGGGTTGTTTGAGCTGTAAAGTGTTCCTTAAAAATTCTGGATACCACTCTTTATCAAATATATGTTATGCACATATTTTCTCCCAGTCCATGGCTGATCTTCTAAGTTCTTAATGGTTTCGTTTGAAGAGCAAAAGTTTTAAATTTTGGTGAAGTTTATTTTATCAATTTTTTCTTTTATGAATCTTGCTTATATTATATTGAAGAAATTATTGCCTAACCCTCTCAAAGATTTTCTCTTATGTTTTATAGTTGTAGGTCTTCCATTTAGATATATGCTACATTTCAAGTTATTTTTGTTTTTATGAAAAGTGTAAGGTAAGAGTGTAGGAACTAGACTTTAGGTTCATCTTTTTGCATATAGATAGCCACTTGCTCCAGCACCATTTGTTGAAAAAACCACCCTTTCCCTATTACATTACTTTACCTTTATTCAAAAATTAATTAACCATAAATATGCAACTTTCTATTCTGTTCCACCAACCTGTATATTTATCCTTCTGTTAACACACTGTTGGTTACTGTAGTTTTATAATGAGTTTTGAAATAGAGGGTCTAAATCCTATACCAAACATGTCAAACTTGCAGCTGGCAGGCCGCATGCCTCGTTTAAATGCCCTACACATTTGTTAGTCTTTTCAAACTTGTTTTAACTATATACTAGGCCTTTAGCTATTTGAGGAACAGGCTTGTCAATTTCTATAAAATAGCCTGTTGGGATTTTGATATAGAGTAAATTGAATCTATCAGGCAATTTGGAAAGAATTGACATCTTAACAATATTGAGTCTTCCACTGATTTATCTACCTACTTATTTAGGACTCATTTAATTTTGCTCAGCAATGTTTTAGTCTTCAATACTCTGGTCTTGAACTACTTTTGCTAACTTTGTTACTATTTGATTTTGATGATAGCATTTATCACTGTAACTGTTTCCTTAATTTCATTTTCAAAGTATTGCTAGGTTCCCTTCTTTTGAACAGATATTAAATTGATAGAACTCTGTAAATACTCTCCCTTCAAACTAAAAAGAAAAGCAGCTATCTACTTGTGAATATCGAGTTCAATCACACATTCTGGGAATGGCCTCAAGAAGTTTAATTGCTCTTAAGAAGAATAGCTTACTATATCCAAACCACAGTATTCTTGGGCATTTGAATGGATTAAAAAAGAAAAACTAGCAATACTACTACCACCAGTGGGCACTTTCCCTACCCATCAGGCATATATTTAGCTGCCAATTCACCCTGTTGGTTCACAAAATTGCAAGCCTGTTTGGTTTGTTCATTCCATATTAATGTTTTTAACAGGAAAGATAGAAACTGGGAATGGCTAAAAATAGAAAATGTATTCTCTAAATAATAAGTAATTTTGTGAAAATTGGGCAACACGTTTACTTTTGTATTGTATATCTCTTCATCACCCTCACCTGTGCAGCAGAGATCTTGGCCACTTGAATGATTTTCTCCATCGATAGGTAGCTCTGCTGAGAGGGAGCAGGACCAATGAAATGCGCTTCATCTGCCTGTTTAACAAATGGCATATGTTTAGAAAACCACAGACCTAGTACTCTACATAGGACTGCTTCAGGGACATAGAAATAGAGAGAGAAATAGAAACATAGAAATGCTGGCTCTCCAAGAACAACACAAAAGTACCAGCTCATATCTATGCTATAAAAATAAGCCACTGTGGCCCAGACGGTGTGGCTCAGTGGTTGAGCATCGACCTATGAACCAGGAGGTCATGGTTCGATTCCTGGTCAGGGCACATGCCTGGGTTATGGGCTCAATCCCCAGTCGGGGGTGTGCAGGAGGCAGCCGATCAGTGATTCACTCTCATCATTGATGTTTCTATTTCTCTCTCCCTTTCCCTTCCTTTCTCTGAGAGCAATAAAAATATATTAAAAAAATAATCCATTTTGAAATCTTTTGCATTAGGAGAATGCCCAAACTTGATTTTTATGTATAATATATGTCGCACACTAAAGTAAAATGAAAGTGGCTTAGGATAGACAGCAACAGGCATTCACAACATGAGACAGAACAGTGGCTAGAAAGCTGCATGGGCCTACTACGTAAAGCTGGAAGGCCAAGCGAAACTCATCACCGTGGACTTGTCAGTGCTTGGGGATTTGCTATGGACGTAACGAAGGACAACAGCTGAATTCACCCAGGCCTGGGTTCTGTCTAAGGGATAAAGCTAGTTATAATTGCTAACACTTACAAACCTTGGGGGAGGAAGGTCCCTGTAGTTATAATTTTCCAGTTAAGCCAAGTCTCTGAAACACTGAGTGACTTGTCTAAGACCCTTGGCCAGTAAGTAGTAGTTGCTAAAACTAGAATCTTGATCCTTTTCCTTGCATATCAGGGATGTGGATAGGAGCCCCTTAAAGTGTGGTCTGTGCATCAGCCACCTTCTGTGAACTGCTTTAACCAATCCTATTGACAGGACCTGGCCTGTAAATCAACTACATCACAGAGTATTCTGTTTAGTTCCACTGGTGACTCATTTGGAAAATGTCCCCGAAAGGAATTATTAGTGAGCAGCTGAACTTACCTACTGCACACTGTTAACACTAGCAAATACAAACTGTCAAGAACTAAAACACTGACACACTAACAAATATGATCACTTACAAAATCTGATTTCCAGTTTTTAGCAACATACCATATCCACATGCATGGAGTTCCTGTCAGCCTCACTGTAAACAGCCACAGACTGTATACCCATTTTTTTAGCTGTTCGCATCACCCTGCAGGCGATTTCTCCTCTGTTGGCAATGAGGACTTTGGTAATGTTGCATCCTAAAACACCATAAAAAATCATACAAAAAATATTTCTGGGGAGCAACGAATAAAAAGGCAAAATAAATATTTTTATGATATTAACAAGCTGCTAAATATTTATGTTGGTAAAATCAGCAAAGCAGAGCCTAAAATAACCATTTTTACTAATATTAGACAGTGCATTTCTTGTCATTGTAATTCAAGATATCCTTATTAACACAAACTCTTAAATTACTCAGATTTTTCAACTTAAAATAAAATTAAAAAATGTTTGTTATGCCAAAGATCAAAATAGCTTTAAAAATCATAGTTAATAATCTTTTTAAAATTTTGTTTTTCAATTACAGTTGACATTCAACATTATTTTATACTAGAGGCCTGGTGCATGAAATTCATGCACTGGGGGGCAGGGGGCGGGTCCCTCAGCCTGGCCTGTGCCCTCTCACAGTCTAGGACCCCTAGGGGAATGTCCGACTGCCGGCTTGTGGCTGGATGGCCTTCTGCTGCTGCACAGCCTGCTGCTTGAGCTTCAGCAGCTGCTGCATGTGCACAGGCTGGGCCCACCATGGTCTGTCCTGCGAACACCATCGAGTGGGTGACTCAAGTGCGGAGGCAGGCTCACCCTGAGTTCCCTGAGTCACTGAGTTGTTCAGATTGACTGCCTTCTACAGAGAATGGCACCAGGATTGGGCCTAAGCCGTCAATCGGACATCCCTCTCGCAGTCTGGGACCCCTCAGGGGATGTAGCAGTGCTCCAAGCAGCAGGTGGCCAGAGGGGAGCCCAAATCGGGGCCAGGTGCCATGTTGCTTGCACACTCATCACAGCCCACTGCACCTGCTGCCACGGCTTGGTAGTGCTGCTGCAGAGTTGGGAGAGGCTCCCGACACTGTGGCAGCTGCGTTTGCCAGCCGTGAACCCAGCTTCTGGCTGAGTGGCACTCCTCCTGTGGGAGCGCACTGACCAATAGGGGGCAGCTTCTGCATTGAGCGTCTGTCCCCTGGTGGTCAGTGCGTATCATAGTGACCGGTCATTCTGGTCATTCCACCAAAACGGTCACTTAGCCTTTTATTATATAGACTAGAGGCCCGGTGCACAAAAATTTGTGCACTCGGGGGGGGTGGGGTCCCCCAGCCCGGCCTGTGCCCTCTCACAGTCTGGGACCCCTCGGGAGATAACGACCTGCTGGCTTAGGCCTGCTCCCGGGTGGCAGAGGGCAGGCCCAATCCCTAAGTGCAGCCCCTGGTCAGGCTCAGAGCAGGGCCGATTGGGGAGTTGGGGCGCCGCCCCGTCATGCACAGAGCAGGGCGGATTGGGAGGTTGCAATGCCACCCTCAGTCACGCTCAGGGTATGGCTGATTGGGGGGTTGGGACACCGCCCCCTGTTACACTCAAGGCAGGGTCGATGGGGAGGTTGCGGCGCCACCCCCTGTCACGCACAGAGCAGGGCCGATCAGGGGGTTGGGGCGCTGCCCCCTGTCACTAACAGAGCAGGGTCCATCAGGGGGGTTGGGGCACTGCCCCCTGTCACTCACAGAGCAGGGCCCATCAGGGGGTTGAGGAGCTCCCCCCTGTCACTCACAGAGTAGGGCCGATAGGGGAGTTGGGGCACCGACCCCTGTCACACACAGAGCAGGGCGGATCAAGGGGTTGGGGCGCTGCACCCTGTCACACTCAGGGCAGGGCCAATGGGGAGGTTATGGCTCTACCCTGTCACACACAGAGCAAGGCCCGTGGAGGGGGGTTGGGGCACCACCCTCTATCACCCACAGAGCAGGGCCGATCAGGGGATTGGGGCACCGCCACTGTCACACTCAGGGCAGGGCCGATGGAGAGGTTATGGTTCTACCCTGTCACTCACAGAACAGGGCCCGTGGGGGCGGGGGGTTGGGGCATCCAACCCTGTCACACACAGAGCAGGGCCGATCAGGGAGTTGGTGCGCTGCACCCTGTCACACACAGAGCCGCAGGGCAATCGGGGGATTGGGGAGCTCCCCCCCCCCTATCAGGCACAGAAGCAGGGGCTTGATCCGGGGGGTTGGGGCGCTGCCCCCCTGTCAACGCTGAATCAGGGGGTTGGCGCTGCCCCCTGTCACGCTGATCCCGGTGCCGGGAGCCTCGCTGCTCCGCTGATCCCGGTGCCGGGAGGCATATTACCCTTTTACTATATAGGATAGAGGCCTGGTGCACGGGTGGGGGCCGGCTGGTTTGCCCTGAAGGGTGTCCTGGATCAGGGTGGGGGTCCCCACTGGGGTGCCTGGCCAGGCTGGCTGAGGGGCTGAGGGCTGTTTTCCCTCTGGCAGTTGACTAAAAGCTCCCAATCGCTCCTTGTTTTCTTTTTTCTTTTTTTTTTTTAATTCTGGGCCAGCTTTAGCTCTGAGGCCTCGCTGCTGAAAACATGGATACAATGTTGCGGTCCGGGGCTGACTGACAGCCAGTTTTGTTTAGCTTCTTATTTGCAACATAGTAATAGTTGCTTAGAGTTGCAGCTGAGAGGCCGGAAAGTGAGCTGGGGAACGTTGGAGTCTGCAGTTCCTGGAGGAAGCAAGCCTCCCTGCTCACTTCAGTGCATGGCTGCCGGCCGCCATCTTGGCTGACAGTTAATTTGCATAAGGATACGCTGATTAGCCAATGGGAAGGGTAGCGGTCGTACACCAATTACCATGTTTCTCTTTTATTAGTGTAGATTAGTTTCAGGTGTACAGCATAATGGTTAGACAATTATATAATTTACAAAGTGATCCCCTGATAATTCAAGTAATCAGCTGGCACCATACATAGTTAATTACATTATTATTGACTATGTTCCCTATGCTGCATTTTACATCCCCATGACTATTTTGTAACTACCAATTTATTCAGACCTCTCAATCCTTTTACCTTTTTCACCAAGCCCTCCAACCCCGGCCCCTACCTCCCACCATCTGGCAACCATAAGTTTGTTCAATGCATCTATGAGTCTGTTTCTATTTTATTTTTTCTTTAGATTCTTTACCTGACATTTGTCTTCCTCTGTTGGACTTATTTCATGTAGCATAATACCCTCTAGATCCATCCATGTTGTTGCAAATGGTAATATTTCATTCTTTTTTATGGCCCAGTAATACTCCATTGTATATATCTAACCACTTCTTCTTCACCCACTTGTCTACTCATGGACAGTTGGGTTGCTTCCATATCTTGGCTATTGTAAATAATGCTGCAATGAACATAAGAGGTGCATATATCTTTTCAAATGAATATTTTGGGCTTCTTTGGATTTATACCAGAAATGGAGTTGCTGGGTCATAACTTAGTTCTATTTTTCATTTTTTTAGGAACCTCCACAGTTTTCCATAGGGGCTGCACTGATTTGCATTCAAACATTGTACGAGGGCATTCCCTTTTCTCAACATCCTCCCCAACACTTGTTTGTGGATTTATTGATGACAGCCATTCTGACAGATGTAACATTCATTGTTTTTAATTTACATTCTCTGATAATTTATGACATTGAGCATCTTTTCATATGTCTAGTAAACACCTGTATGTCCTCTCTGAAGCAGTGTCTATTCAGGTCCTCTGCCCATTTTTTAATTGGATTGTTTTTCTGATGTTGAGTTGTATGAGTTCTTTATAAATTTTGGGTATTAATCCCTTAGCCAATATATCATTTGCAAATATCTCCTCTCATTCGGTGGGTTGTCTTTTCATATTATTGATAGTTTCCTTTGCTGTGCAAAAACTTTTTAGTTTGATATAGTCCCATTTGTTTATTTTTTCTTTTGTTTCCCTTGCCCAAGGAGATATGTCAGAAAGAATATTGCTAAGAGAAATGTCAGAGTTTACTGCCAATGTTTTCTACTAGGAATTTTGTGGCTTGGGGTCTTCCATTTAATTCTTTAATCCATTTTGGGTTTATTCTTGCATATGGTGTGAGAAGGTGGTCTAGTTTCATTTTTCTCCTGTTCAGTTTTCCCAACACTATTTATTGAATAGACTATTTTTACCCCCAATGTATGTTCTTACCTTCTTTGTCGTACATTAACTGACCATACAGGCAAGGGTTTTTCTGAGCTCTCTATTCTGTTCTATTGATTTACTGTCTGTTTTTATGACTGAACCATGCTATTTTGATGATCTAGCCTTACAGTATAGTTTGGTATCAGTGTGATACCTCCAACTTTGTTCTTCTTTCTCAAGATTGCTGTGGCTATTTGAGGGTCCTCTGGGGTTCCTTATAAATATTTGGATTATTTGTTCTAGTTCTGTGAAATATACCATTGGTATTTTTGATAGAAATTGTGTTGAATCTATAGATTGCTTTGGGAAATATGGACATTTTAACAATGTTAATTCTTCCTATCCATGAGCAAGGTATATGCTTTCATTTATTTGTATCTTCTTTGATTTCTTATAATTTTTTAAGTAAAGGTCTTTTACCTCCTTGGTTGAATTTACTCCTAGGTATTTTTTTATGCAATTGTAAACAGAATTGTTTTCTTAATTTCTCTTTTTGATAGTTCATTTACTGATGTATAAAAATGCAACCAACTTCTGAATATTTATTTTATATCCTACTACTCTACTCAATCATTTATCAGTTCTAATCGTTTTTTGGTGGACTCTTGAGGGTTCTCTATATACAGTATTATGGCATCTGCAAATAATGGCAGTTTTATATCTTCCTTTCCAATTTGGATGCTTTTTACTTCTTCTTCTTGTCTGATTGCTGTGACTAGGACTTCCAGTACTATGTTGAATAAGAGTGGTGAAAGCAGACATCTCTGTCTTGTTTCAGATTAAGGGAAACCCTTTTAATTTTTGCCCATTGAGTATGATGTTAGCTGTGGGCTTGTCATATATGGTCTTTATGTTGAGGCATGTGCCCGCTATTTACACTTTATAGAATTATCATAAATGGGTGCTTGATTTTAGAAAATGCTATTCTGCATCTGTTGATATCATCATATGATTTTTATCCTTCATTTTGTTTATGTGATGTATCATGTCAATTGATTTGCAGATACTGAATCA